AATTGATGCTTCAGTGTTTGAGCCGGACCAGCACCTGATTCATTTGGGATTAAACAATTGAAGCAGACCCAGCTGGAGCGCTGTATAGTGTTTTAACTCATCTTCCACATCTTAAAATTCTGAATTTTTACAGATGAAAGGTAAAGTGATTAATTTTTAGTCTTCACTCCATTTCACTTCTTCTTTCTTAATTATGTGCAGCTATCAAAACGCTAAAACTAGAAAATGAAGATAATAAGAGAGAGAGTAAATGAAATGAAAGCCAAATTTAATGGCAAGCCCTGATAAGCACAAATAATAAAGACTGATAAAATAAGAAGCAAAGAGGGGAGACCATAAAGAGGCTTCACTAGCCTAGCAGGGCTCATTCCTATTCCAGTGGACAAGCTAGAAGGGGAAGGGGCAGTGATGTAGAAATATAAATCTTAGCTAATATGTATGAGGCTATTCATCATCCTTTTTAGCATAGCATAGACAGGAAATCCTGATCCAATAGAAAAGGTTGTTCACACCAGGCAAAAGTGGGCTTTCCTTGGCCTGATTGTGCATGATCTGAAATGGGGACTTATGCAGGCCATAGATGGGGAGAAAACCAGCCGATTTTTCTTTACAAAAACGAAAAATCGGTCGTTCAATCGGCCGACGTTACCAGTACCGGTAAAAAAAATCGGCCGATTTTCATCCCGTCTACAGCATGCAAAAAGTGTCTCTGCAGAGAGCTCCGCTATTTCTTTGACAGTTTTTTGACATTGATAGTGGCTGCAACATTGTATCTATTTGTATCCATTTCGGATACAGATGTTTTTATTCGGAAACAAATAGATATATTGTTGCAGTCGCTATAAATGTCAAAGAACTGTCAAATAAATAGTGGAGCTCTCTGCAGGGACACTTTTTGCCGGACTGGAATTCTTCTTCATCCTCTTCTTCTTCATCCTCTTCTTCTTCTTCTTCTTCTTCTTCTTCTTCTTTTTGTCTTCCTTTTGCAGGTCACTGCTCATGCGCAGATTTTTTATCGGTAAAAAGATCGACCGATTTGCCCATCATTGCCGCGAAAATCGGCCGATCGGCAAAATCAGACGATTTTTTTCAAACTTTACCGATAAAAAAATCTGCCAAAATAACGATTTTTGACCCATCTATGGCCTGCATTAGATACTGCATTAGATACTGTGAACATGTTAGGTACTTATTTGTTTGCACAGCTAACAGGTTAATATGTCATGTTTACTAATTTCACAAACTTTCTTTTCTTTACAGGATAAGTGCACTTAAAGACAAAGGGGGGGGGGGGGGGGGGGGTTATTTACTAAAACTGGAGAGTGCAAAATCTGGTGCAGCTCTGCACAAAAACCAATCAGCTTCCAGGTTTTATTGTCAAAGCTTAATTGAGAAAGCTAAACTTTAAAACTGATTGGCTACCATGCACAGCTGCACCAGATTTTGAATGCACCAGTTTAAGTAAATCTTGCCCCCCAATGTGTTTTTATTCTCTTTCCCCTTTGCTCTGATCTAAGCTAACCCACCCTAGCCCTGCAGAGATGGCTGAGTCTTCTGGTGTTTGTTTATATCAAGGGTCGCAAGTCAGCTATGCCTGTGCATTACTGACCTATAGATTTCTATTTGGCTGTGTTCTGAGTCTGGAGATAATATCAACCACAAATAAAGTATATATTGTATATACAGCATACTGTATCTTGATTGATTGAAATGACAGTACCATGTCATGGTGCCAAGAGGAAATGGTGTCACCTAAGGTTCCCTCCCATACAGGTTGACAGGCTTCGGGGGATATTGGTCTAATGAGAAAACTGGCTTTTCAGGTTTTCTCTAGGATTATTAAATCCTGGAGTCCAGAGGCTTTGTAGAGTCTTGTGTATGAAGCCTCCAACCATACAGTTGCAAGAAAAAGTATGTGAACCCCTTGGGATTACGTGGAGTTTTGCATGAATTGGGCATAAAATGTGCTCTGAACGTCATCTAAGTCACAACAATAGAAGAACACAGTCTGCTGAACATAATACTACACAAACATTAGATGTTGCCATGGTTTAATTGCACATAACATGTAAACATTCACAGTGCAGGGAGGAAAAAGTATGTGAGGCCCTAGCTTAATGACTTCTCCCAGAGCTAATTGGAGCCAGGAGTGAGCCAACCTTGACTCCAATCAGTGTGATGATATTGGATGTGTTGCTGACAGCTGTCCTGCTCTTAAAAAACACACACCTGTTTTGGGTTTACTGGTTTCAAGAAGCACTGTCTGATGTGAACCGTGCCTCGCAGAAAAGAGCTCTCAGAAGACCTACGATCAAGAATTGTTGACTTGCATGAAGCTTGAAAGAGTTACAAAAGTATCTCCAAAAGCCTTGATGTTCATGTGTCCACGGTAAGACAGACTGTCTACAGATGGAGAAAGTTTAGCACTGTTGCTACTCTCCCTAGGCGTGGTCGTCCTGTAAAAATGACCGCAAGAGCACAGCGCAGAATGCTGCATGAGGTAAAGAAGAATCCCAGAGTGTCAGCTAAAGACCTACAGAAATCTCTGGAACATGCTAACATTTTTGTTGACACATCTACAATAAGGAAAACATTAAACAAGAATGGAGTACATGGGAGGACACCACGGAGGAAGCCATTGCTGTCCAAAAAGAATATTGCAGCACGTTTGAAGTTTGCAAAAGAGCACCTGGATGTTCCACAGCACTACTGGCAAAATATACTGTGGACAGATGAAACCAGATTGAGTTGTTTGGGAAAAAACACACAACACTATGTGTGGAGAAAAAAAGGCACAGCACACCAACATCAAAACCTCATCCCCACTGTAAAACATGGCGGAGGGAACATCGTGGTTTGGGGCTGCTTTGCTGCCTCAGGGCCTGGACGGATTGTTGTCATTGATGGGAAAATGAATTCCAGAGTTTATCAAGACATTTTGTAGGAAAACGTACGACCATCTGTCCGCCAACTGAAGCTCCACAGAGGATGGGTGATGCAACAGGACAACGACCCAAAGCATACAAGTAATTCAACAAAACAATGGCTGCAACAGCACAGAATACACCTTCTGGAGTGGCCCAGTCAGAGTCCTGACCTCAACCCGATTGAAATGCTGTGGCATGACCTTAAGAGAGCGATTCACACCAGACATCCCAAGAATATTGCTACACTGAAACAGTTTTGTGAAGAGGAGTGGTCCAAAATTACTCCAGATCGTTGTGCAGGTCTGATCTGCAACTACAGGAAACGTTTGGTTGAGGTTATTGCTGCCAAAGGAGGGTCAACCAGTTATTAAGTCCAAAGGTTCACATACTTTTTCCTGCCTGCACTGTGAATGTTTACATGTTATGTGCAATTAAAACCATGGCAACATCTAATGTTTGTGTAGTATTATGTTCAGCAGACTGTGTTCTTCTATTGTTGTGACTTAGATGACGTTCAGAGCACATTTTATGCCCAATTCATGCAAAACTCCACGTAATCCCAAGGGGTTCACATACTTTTTCTTGCAACTGTATGTCATTGTTTTATTGGTGATCAGCAGCGATTTATGGTGCAGATGTACACAAACTTTACAACTTTATGTTAGGAGAACTGACTGCAGTTCAGTCCCCCACCTTCCCCAGGAGAGCCATGAAACAAGGGAACAGTAAGGAGTGTGTCACTGACCAGGCCGACACCTGGGAGATAATTGGGAGAAAGTTCATAGTGTAGACACTATGAAGTTCTGGTCTGAGAGCCCACATTTAATAGGCTGACAGTCAGAATATCCCCAGCTGGGTAGCTTTATATCTAGGAAGCAGTATTTTTTGTTTTGACTGCTGTGTGATGCTGAAACCCCTGCATGGGAAACCTGCTGTTCTGGAACTTTTTTTAAATAAACACGGGAGGAAAGTCCTTAAAGCAAAGATGGTGAGTGGAATACCGCTGACTACTCTTCCCCGCAGCAGATGTACACAAAGGGGCGGGGACCTTATGACATCATTGAAATGACATGACCACTGACATTAACCTAGTATAACTATGTGTCCATATTAGGTTAAAAGAGAAGTTTGTTTGTTTTGTTTTTTTAAACATACTTAACTAGGTGGATGTAGCATCAGTCCGATGTGCCCTCTTCTGGCATCCCCACCCCTTTGTCTACAACAGCTGCAGGATAATAAATCTTCCAGTTCACTGACCCAGCAATGATGGCTAACTTCCAGGTTTGGACAATACCCAAGCTCATCACTACTTACAATCTATGTTCCCTACCTCACGTGCTACCTACATACGCATATTAGGGCCAATTTAGACAAGAGCCAATTAACCTACCAAAATGTCTGTGGAGTGTGGGAGGAAACCCACACAATCACAGGGAGAAGATGCAACCAATGCAGGTACAGTCTTGATTAGAATTCAAGGTGAGGAACCTAGTGCTGCAAGTCAGGAGTGCTCAGGGGCGGACTGACAACTCATGAGGCCCCCAGGCAATAGGGGATCATGGGGCCCCTGTGTCCTTGCCCAAACTCAAAAAAGCCTATGAAAAAGGTACCAGAGGCATTTTATGGGGCCCCCTACTGACCCGGGCCCTCATGCAGTGCCCGAGTTTCCAAATGGTCACTCCCTGGGAGTGATAATGATTATACCATTGTTTTTAGGATAATCTTTGTGAATAAGGAACCCATGCACACTATGGCGTTTTGAATCACAGGCAGAATCGCCACAATAACTCATGTGACAAGCGCAGCAGAACTGCACCGTGTTCTTATGTGCCATTAAAATGAATAGCATCTTAACGTGCTGCTGTGTGATTTGTTATTTTGGCAAAGCGTTTTGAAATCACAGTGATTTTGCCCACGATTCAAAACACCATAGTGTGAATAGAGCCTAAAATACATTTTATAGGCTGAAAATGGTATAGTGAAGTTATTTGTAAGTAATCTAACTTTTTGTAACTTTTGCCTTTGTAACTTTGGATTTTTGTAGCTTTACCTTTTAAAAATCTTCTATTTTAGATTTTGAGATCACAAGTCCCATTCCCCGTGGGCAGAAGCTGAGGCCAACGCAGGAGTATGGGATATATGAGCAAGCTTCAAGTCTAGGTCCTTCACAAGTAGATATCAAACGGGGAAACTGGAATACAGGCAGCACATCCAGTACTGCAAGTAGGTAACTTTTGGTCATACAGCCTTAAGCTGGCCATACATTATACAATTTTTCTTATTCAATTTCCTTTATATTTAACTGTAACTATGTAGTGCAAGGGCCTGTCTGATTGCATACAAATTGAAAGTGTTTAGGTTTGACCTCATATTATATGGTTTTGGTAAACCTAAAGGAAGATTGTACAAGAAAATTGTATAATGTATGGCCAGCCATAGAGTCCCTTAGTTCCTTCAAACAATCAGTTTTGTTTTCCAGGGAAGATGACATCTTGGCTTAACTGGTTTATTTCCTATACCTTATTAAGTCATTGCTATCATAACTTAGTCATAACTTATATATTGGTACATATAATGAAGCCTTGCAGCCACAGGGAGCAAGCCAATAAAATGTATTTAAGATTCCATTTGCCTAACTCCTAATTTAAGGCTTGCTTTCAGATATACATAGGAACATTTGTATATTTCTGTATTAATTAGATCAGGGGTCAGCAACCCCCGGGATGTGTGGGAACTCTGGGGACCTTGATTTAATGTGGGGGACTCTGGGAACCTTGATTTAATGCAGGGCACTCCAGGGACCCTGATGTAAGGAGGAGTCTTTGGGGGCCCTGATTTATTGGGGGAATTCTTATACTCTTAGAAACCTAAAGTAAAGGGGAGAAACTCTAGGGACCCTGATATAAAGGGAGGGACTCTTAGGAACCCTGATTTAATGTGGGGGAACTGTGGGGACCCTGATGTAAGTGTGGGGGGGTCTCTGGGGATCCAGATTTAATGAGGGGGATTTGGGGACCCTGATGTAAATGGGGGGAAGATGGGGACCTCAGTGTAAGGGGTTGACTCTGGTGACTCTTATGTAAATGTGGACAGCCTCTGGGAACTCAAATTTAATAGGGTGCTCTTAGGACCCTAATGTAATGGGGGAGAACTATTGGGAACTTGAAATAAGGGGAGGGGACTCTGGGGAACCTGATGTAAGGGGGAGGACTCTAGAAGAAGGAGGGGGGCTCTGATGTAAGAGGGATTTTGGGAACCCTGATGTGTTTAGTCAGTGGTTGCTAAAAGTAGTATTTGGTGAAGGTGCAGGAATGGGGTGATCAGAGGTATGTAGGTGTAGGAAATGGGGTGATCTGAGGTATGAGGTATGTAGATGAAGGAATTGGGGTGATCTGAGGTGTGAAGGTGCAGGAATTGGGTTGATCTGAGGTGTGAGAGTACAGGAATTGGGGTGATCTGAGGTGTGAAAATACAGGAAATGGGGTGATCTGAGGTGTGAAAGTACAAAAATTGGGGTGATCTGAGAGGTGTAAAGGTGCAGGAATTGGGGCTAATCTGAGGTATGAAGGTACAGGAATTGGGGTGATCTGAGGTGTGTAGGTCAGGAACTGGGACTGATCTGATGGGTGAAGGTGTAGGAATTAAAGTGATCTGAGGTATGAAGGTGAAGGAATTGGAGTTGATGTGAGGGGTGAAAGTATAGGAATTTGGGTGATCTAAAGTATGAAGGTGCAGGAACTGGGGCTGATATGAGGTGTGGAGCTGCAAGAACTGAGGCAATCTGAGGTCTGATGGCGCAGGAATTGGGGCTGATATTGTGTCTAAAGATGCATGCATTGGGGCTTATTTGAGATTCGGAAGTGCAGAAATTGGGGTGATCTGAGGTGTGTAGGTGCAGTAATTGGGGTGATCTGAGGGGTGAAGGTACAGTAATTGGGGTGATCTGAGGGGTGAAGGTGCAAGAATTGGGGTGATCTGATGGGTAAAGGTGCAGGAATAGCGGCTGCTTTGAGGTGTGAAGGTGCTGGAATTGGGGCTAATCTGAGGTGTGAAGTTGCTGGAACTGAGACTGATTTGAGGTGTGAAGGTGCAGGATTTGGGGCTGATCTGAGGTGTGAAGGTGCAGGAACTGGGAGTGATCTGTGCATGCATTTAATGTATTACTTACAGCTGCTAATCATGTTCAAACTTTCATTTTACAGCTGCAGATTTGAATTTGATGCTGTGATGACAGTAGTTTATTTCTAGTATTTATACCAAAGACGTGGGGTAGTATATGGTTAAAATGTGCAAAGAAGAGCTGACTACGCTACCCAGAGCAACCATTTAGATTTTAAAGGCATTTAATTCAGGCCCCCTTTATTTTATCATTTACTTACTAACTGTAAGATAAACTTGAAAAGCTATCATACATGTGTTCTTTGTGTTTGTTTTCTAATACAGGCAGCAACAGTAACCGATCCAGCACTCGAAGTACACTAAGTAGTGGAAGGGAAGGAGATAATGAGGTAATTGCGTGTATGTTTCAATGAGTGACAGAATAATCATTGCCTTCATTCAATCATAAATAAAAAATCCAGTGCATTCCAGACCACAACTTTGCAAATAGTGTTTAATACCTGTTTATGGTCATGTTAAATGCATAAGTGAAAATGGTAAAACATGTATTTTCTGTTCCAGCTACAGGAAGGAGTTATGTGAAAGGAAGAAAAAACATTATGTGCAAAAATATACAAATCATAATAGATTATGGGTGCTCATTATCAGTTTAATATTTCCAAAAAAAATTAGTGGCAGTTGGAATTGAAGGCTTGGGGTAGAGAAAAGCACTTGTAAAAATGAGGAGAGAAGACTTGTACATTGTTGCAAACTTACCTTTGGATTTGTTGTCCTGTTATGTAAAAGCAGCATTGTGCTCACTTTTCTGTTCCACAGCTGCTGATAATCTCCTTCTCGGAATGTTACTTGTTAGAGATAAGGTACCTGTGATTTGGTGGTGCTTTCCATACCCTGTTCTGGTAACAAGTTATACACGAGCACTTTCTATCGTCAGAGCCATTGGCATTGCATTAGCCTTTGCCCTGTCTCTGATAACCCACTCTGTGATTAGGCCAAACAGACTGAGTACTAGAAGCTACTGCATCTATTCAGATCGCTGGGTGCCTTTAAAATGTACACTTTCTGCTGGTTCCTACCATGGAAGGGGCTGACACTGAGAGACTGATGTCATCTGCTGGGTGGAGTGTCGAGCAAGCATGTTCCATGTTCCCTCTCCCATCATTCAGCACCAAGGAGGTATCACCCCACTGCTGCTCCTGCATTGCAAAGAACCATGTCGAACTCTGATCTTTGTTCCATTCCTGCTCCCCACCTGCAGTTACTTGTGTTCACCTCTAGCAATCCAGCCCGCACCTATTACTAGCAGTTTGGATTTGTGAGTACCTGAAGCCTTATCTCATACCCTGAGTCTTATGATGCCTTACTGCCATTTGCAGCAGGTCTAAATCTAGACATGGGGGACAGTCCTGCTGTACTGGGTGCTCCTCCTCACACTCTACCAATGGGTCCTATAATCCTTGCAGCACTCCTACTGACGAAGCCAATGTCTGCAGCCTGGAATCATGTTTTCCTCTGTTCCTAGATTTTGTCCTGTCTTCAAGGTTTTCCTTGTCTCTATTGAGTGTTGCCAACTTCCCTGACCTTTTGTAAGAGTTTTTTACTACAGTCATGCAAATATACTTCCCCTTCTGCTTCTGTATCTGATCTGTCTTTCCGTTAGCTATCTCTGAGCCATTAGCCACCGAAACTGTCTGATTCTGAGTCATTTCAGTCTTTTCTGAACAAACTTGCTTCCAAGGAGTCACAGTCTTCTGCCATTACTCCAACATTGAAAAAGACTGTTTGGTTCTTATTGATGCAGTGCGGTCCACTCTAAAACTAAAGGATCAGTCTTTTGCTTCTACCAGGGATGTTCCCTGTCTTGGGTCCTTTAAAGCCCCTAAGACTTTCTCAGTGCACCTACTGTACCAAGTCCTCCTCTATGGAGACTGGAAACACTCTGACAAGATGTTTGCTCCCCCAAGTGCTTATTTGCTTTGTATCCATTTGAACAGGATTTTGCTAACACATGGTCTTCTCTAAGAGTAGAACTGGCAGTTATCCCACCTTAACAAAGCAGAACAAACAAACTATTCCAATGTAATATGCACCAGTTTTAAGGACCCAACTAATAAGTGGTTGGAAATCCTTATCTCCCGCCTAGGTCGCCTTTCAGTATATAAATGCAGAAGACATTTTAGTGTGGACTGCAGAAGCTATACCTAAGAGACACTTGCTCTGCATGGCCTTTCAGGGACAGCATCTCTTTGGATATCCTGAGTTTCAGTCTCCTCCTCCTTAGAGGATCTCAAGGTGAGCTGGTTTCCTGAGTTGGACTTTGTTAGACATCACTTAGATGATGCAGGACATTCACTTCCAGGCAGGTTTGTGGGCTTATCCCTAAACTGGATGACTCTGAGACCACACTGTCTTCCCTGGGAGTAAGGCATTCATATGTCTCCGCTGGTGGTTTCTGCACCAAAGGGAAAGGTTTATGCACCTGACTGTCCCTCATCTTTTGCATGACGAGCACAAATCTCTGTGCCTCCCTAGATTGTTTACAGGCAGAACACTGTGTACCCCTCTTGGAGTAGAGTATGTCCTCTAGCTAAGGGATAGGCGTGTAAGGGTTAGGCTTTCACATGTAGACTACCTAGTCTTCTCTTGCAGACCTATTTTGTCGCAGGATCCTCTTGTCCCAATGTTTTTCTGTTGCTGGCCTTTTTCTTCCTTATCAGGCAGTTATGTTGTTCCACTTGTAGTAGTGAGTTTTTAGTTTTAAAGCCTCATTGGCTCTGGCTCAGTATTCCTCTGGGTGGGGTTAATCCTCTTAAGAGGTGATCTTTTTTTTCTGGTCTAGAGCAACAGATTGATCCTCTGTTGCCTTCACTTAATTGTTTGCAGTTTCTCATGTCCTGCTTTCAGTCATTGCTCCTTCAGGTAGTTCCGAGTTGCAGACAGTTCTCAGGGCTATTTTATTGGGTTGTTGGTGCTTGTTGCCCATCCTTCAGCTGGACTGCTATGAGATGTCCCATGTGTTTCTGAATTCTCTCAATGGGCAGGAAAGGAAGTAAGATTTTTGTACTTAGGGACATACAGTGAGGAACAGAAGTATTTGAACACCCTGCGATTTTGCAAGTTCTCCCACTTAGAAATCATGGAGGGGTCTGAAATTCACATTGTAGGTGCATTCCCATTCTGAGAGACAGAATTTAAAAATAAATTCAGGAAATCACATTGTATGATTTATAAAGAATTTATTTGTCTTGCACTGCTGAACATAAGTATTTGAACACCTGAGAAAATCAGTGTTAATATTTGGTACAGAAGCCTTTGTTTGCAATTACAGAGGTCAAACGTTTCCTGTAGTTCTTGACCAGGTTTGCACACACTGCAACAGGGATTTTGGCCCACTCCTCCACACAGATCTCCTCTAGATCTGTCAGGTTTCGGGGCTGTCGCTGAGCAACATGGAGTTTCAGCTCCCTCCAAAGATGCTCTATTGTATTTAGGTCTGGAGACTGGCTAGGCCACTCCAGAACCTTGATATGCTTCTTACAGAGCCACTCCTTGGTTATCCTGGCTGTGTGCTTCGGGTCGTTGTCATGTTGGAAGACCCAGCCACGACCCATCTTCAATGCTCTGACTGAGGGAAGGAGGTTGTTGCTCAAAATCTCAGAATAAATGGCCCCATTCATCCTCTCCTTAATACAGTGCAGTCGTCCTGTCCCAGAAAAGCACCCCCAAAGCATGATGTTACCACCCCCATGCTTCACAGTAGGGATGGTGTTCTTGGGATGCAACTCATCCTTCTTTTTCCTCCAAACACGACGAGTGAAGCTTAGACCAAAAAGTTCTACTTTGGTCTCATCTGACCACATGACTTTCTCCCATGCCTCCTCTGGATCATCCAGATGGTCATTGGCAAACTTCAGACGGGCCAGGACATGTGATGACTTGAGCAGGGGAACCTTCCGTGCAATGCATGATTTGAAACCATGACGGCGTAGTGTTCTACCGACAGTGACCTTTGAAACTGTGGTCCCAGCACTCTTCATGTCATTGACCAGCTCCTCCCTTGTAGTTCTGGGCTAATTCCTCACCTTTCTTATCATCAGTGATACCCCACGAGGTGAGATCTTGCATGGAGCCCCAGTCCGAGGAACACTTACAGTCGTCTTTTAGCCTCTTCCATTTTCTAACAATTGCTCCAACAGTTGATCTATTTTCACCAAGGTGCTTGGCAATTGCTCCTTTAGCCCTTTCCAGCCTTGTGGAGGTCCACAATTTTGTCTCTGGTGTCTTTTGACAGCTCTTTGGTCTTACCCATGCTAGTAGTTGGCGTCTGACTAACTGTGGGGTGGACAGGTCTCTTTAAAGAGCACAGACAGGTGCTACTAAGTTAGATTAATGAGTGGTGTAGAGGTGGACCTTTTAAAGGCACAGTAACAGGTCTTTGAGAGCCAGAATTCTTGCTGTTTCTTAGGTGTTCAAATACCTATGTTCAGCAGTGCAAGACAAATAAATTCTTTAAAAATCATACAATTCTGTCTCTCAGAGTGGGAATGCACCTACAATGTGAATTACAGACCCCTCCATGATTTCAAAGTGGGAGAACTTGCAAAATTGCAGGGTGTTCAAAAACTTCTGTTCCTCACTGTAGGTGTGTTTTTGTTCCTGCCCTGGGTACTGGGTTTCTTTCCCTGGGTTCCACCCCTCTGTGTTTATAATCAGGCCTTTGGTACTGCTTGGTACAAAATTGAGGGATGCATGTAGTGCTGGGTGTTAAACTGGGCTGGTCTACATTTTTTTTTGTTTAGCAGAGTCAAATCTTCCTGCAGATGGCAGTATAGCCCGAAGGTTAACCGCTTCCCGCCAGCCTATAGTACAATGACGGCCGGGCAGGAGCTTTCTTGTTCTGGGTGGATGTCATATAACGTCCTCCCCAGAACGCGTCTTGCATCAGCCCCATAGGCTGTGCTGTGGCGTGTTCTGTCACCTACTGTGTCCAGTCACAGTAGATTATATGACAATTGTACACAATGGATGGCTTCCATTCATGCCATCCATTGTGTACTACTGCATTGATCTCTGTGATTGTTCAGTCACAGCCCATCTGTACCATGTGGTTAGCTGTGGCAAATCACAGCTAATCACAATAGTACAATGAATTGATTTCATTCAGAAAAAAATGGTTGCTTATAATAGTGATTTCACTGTTTTATAAGTGATCATAGTGTATTAGAAAAAAAAAATCTTGAACACCTTCCCAGAGTAGTACAGTGTTACTGTGGTAACTCTGTGTTGCTCTGCTCACAGCATGCAAAAAAAAATTTGTAAAAAAATGTAATAAAATTATAAAAAAGATTTTGTTTTTGTTTTTTTTTTTACATACTTTCACTAGTCAGTGTCCCTGATCACCACCACACCAGTTATATGATGATGATGATGCTGTACTGCACTGGTGACCGTATGTAAAAACAATTGTGAAAAAAAATTTTTTTTTTTTTATTTCTTCATTTTCTCATTTTCCAAAAAATTGTGACAAAAAAATTACAACTTCAAAAAACTCGCCATGCCTCTTACTAAATACCTTGGACAACCAACTTTCCAAAAATGTTAATTTGGGGGGTATTTGTACTGCCCTGGCTATTTCTGGCCTCAAGAAATTAGATAGGCCATCAGTACATGAGGACTGATCTATTTTTAGATATATTTACCATAATTTGTGGCCTCTATAACTTTCCTACAGACTAAATAATAAACACTATTTAGTCTGTATATAAAGAAACGTAGCAGAATACATTTTGGCCTAAATTTATGAGGAAATAGTATTTATTTGCAAAATTGTATAGCAGAAACAAAGAAAAACAATGTTGTTGTTTTTTTTTTTAATTTTCAGACTTTTTTTTAATTTACCATAAAAATAAAAAAACACAGTGGTGATTAAATACCACCAAAAGAAAGCTCTATTTGTATGAAAAAAATTATACAAATTTCATAGGGTACAGTGTTGCTTGACCAAGCAATTGTCATTCAAAGTGTGACAGCACTGAAAGCTATAAATTGGCCTGTGAAGGAAAGAAGTGAAAGTGCTCGGTATTAAAGACTTCCTGTGTCCCACAATGGACTCCAAGAAAAGGATTTAAGGGGAGTTTAAAAAATCACATTTTAAAAATCTGCCATATGCTGTAAAATACAGACAAATGTCCAGCAAACATTCACTTTGTGCATTATACCATGAATACTTGTTAAATTGCCAAAGTGTATTGAAGCCAGTGAATTACCATGATGTGACCATGAAGACCCTACCCTTTTTAAAGGATAAGTCACCTTAAAAAAAAAAAAATAAATGCACATTTTGTTGCAGATAGAAAAATGTGCATTTACTATTTTTTTTTGTAAGAGCCTGTAAAGCATTGCACTCGCAATCCTGCAGACTGTCAGTGTAAGACTGTCAGTGTGCTCTTACCTCATACGGGCAGGCAGTTATACAATGACAGGTTGAATCAATGAACTACTTAGAGCTCTCAACAGCTCCCTGGTAGTTCATTGAGAAGCACAGGCCATCAGCTGCAAAGGCTCTCGGTACTTGTAGTTCATTCATTCACAGATCTCTGTGTTGCAGTCGTGTGGGTGTAGCCCGCATGACTGCATTCTTTTCAAATTGTGACTGCAAGTACAGGGAGAAGATCCATAGCCCACTGTCAGATGTGGGGGATCAGGGAGCAACTGCAGGAACGGAAACATGTTATATGTTCCACCCTAAAAACAGGTGAAACATTTAACATGTTCCTAAAGGTGAATTTATCATTTAAAGTACCCACAGACTGTTTACCTAATGTTAAAATTGAGGCGGTGAGGTTGAGTGGTGCATATAAAAGGGGGTTTAGTTCTTTTTGCAACAAAAAGCTAGATAACATAAAAATGACCTTTGCTGTGAGGTGCTCCAAGAACATCGACTGACAAATGGCCTTGCTGAAGCCCTGCAGATATGCAAGTGTCCCCTGAAGCCTTTCAGATGTGAAAGTGTCTTCTAAAGCCTTGCAGATATGTAAGTGGCTGACATATTTTCAGACTGAAATGAATGATTTGGGTGGAATTATGTTGTACATTTTCTGTCTCACTCATTGAGGGACACAGGAATCCTTGTACCTCATACTTCCACCTATAGGATGATTAAACACTACTCGTTCTTAAGTCTGCTCGTTCGCCTCTTGTTGTCACCTCAAGTGGTCCCAGTATGAGCCCTACTGCTCTTACATGGCATCTCGATTGTGGAAAACAGTCAGCATAGGCTCTGTTGGACAACAGGGCTTTGACAGTGGTTTGGATGAATCCCAAACCTTCAGAAATTGGAGCTGGAGCCAACTCATTGTTTGGGCTATATGGGTCTAGTCTTGGAAACAGCTCAGGCCAAGGTGTTTTTTCCTCAGGAGAAAGGTCTGACTTTGTGAACTCAGATTCTAGATCTCCATTCAAGGAGATGTCTGACTGTTTTTGCGTAAGAATCTTGGGCCTGATTGTAGCCTCCTTTGAGGTAGCCCTATTTGTCCAGTTTCACTCCAGTCTTCTACAGCACAACATTGTGTCATCACAAGACAAGTCAAATAGGTCCCTGGACAGAAGAATTTATATGGCACTGTAAACCAAGTTGTCCCTGGCCTGGAAAAGCCCTTTTTGTCTTCTGGAAGATCTCATGAAGGATGCTAGCCTGTCAGGCTGGAGAAGGAGTGCTGGGCGCCCTGTCAGTGCAGAGGACTTTGTTGTCAGAGGAGACACATCTCTCGATCAACATCCTGGAACTTTGGGCACTTTGGATATCTCTGCCAGTTTAGACCATCCTGCTGGAAGGTCATCTGATCAGGATACAGTCCCACAATACCACTGCAGTAGTGTACTGCAACCTTCAGCATGGAACCAGTGGGATCAGTGAGCTTTGCCTTTCCTCCTCTGAAACTTCTTTCTTGTCTGCTTCTCAGGATCAAGCTGGAGGACATTGTGATGTCCTTGTTGCTCCACATTCACTTGGGTGGATGCAGTACATCAGCTTGGTAATACTCCTGTCAAGCTCTCCATGGGCCCTGCCTGATCATCAGCTTCTTCTATCCAATGAGTGATTTGCCATCCAGCTTTACGGTTGTTGGCATTATTGGCATGGCTGCTGAAGCCCAGGTTCTAAGGCACAGGACATCTGAGTCTCTATTTCATACCATGCTAAAAGCTAGGAATTTACTCCTCGTAAGGTCTAATAATATCTAGGTGGCTCAGGAAAACCATCATCCAAGCTTACGGTCTCAAGGATCGTGTCTCACCCTTTCCTGCCAGGAACCACTCTACTGGAATTGTGAGTGCTTCTTGAGCTCTTCAGCATTAAGTAACCATTTGCCATATTTTCAGGGTGATCATGTGGTCTTCTGTTCACATGTTCTTGGAGTTCTACTAGGTGGATATTACAGCCTCAACTGATGCCAGGTTCAGGTATAAGGTTCTTCAAGCGGCTCTTTGAGCTGCAGGTAGTCCTCAGCACTCTGTTGTTTTTTTACTTGGTTCTGTTAGAATTTGTTTGCTGTATTGCCCAATCCCATAGTTGCACTGCTTTTGGACAAGTCCCACCGCATTGTGTATATGGTTATGCAAAATTGAGGCAAGATTTTACCCAGAGGGGTGATCCTGGACTGGCCTACAGTTTTGTTTTGTTTGCCAGCATCCAATTCTCCAGTAGGCAGCAGAATAACCTAAAGGTAACCCTCAATGGATTTCAAGAGAAACTTTTTTCCAAGCCATTTTGCATAAAATCTCTTTCTAACCAACTAGGAATCATTATTCTGAATTCTGTGAGCTGATAATAGGTGAAATGTAATTGACTGTCATGGACTGCTTTAGTTTTCACATGATGATTGCATTTGTAACTGCTTATTAAATGTACCTAAATATTGTGTATCCATTCATTGTCTCTACATATGTGTCAAAGCATTTTAGAACTATGGATATACATGTACACCAATTAAAAGATTTAAAGCTTACACAGCATCCAGAGCCTCCATATAAATGTCTCCAGGACTGCTGTGTTCAGGCATCCACAGAGAGCAGTTAGAAAATGCAGATGTACGTGCGTATGCACCAGGCGTTGCATAAAGCACTTGCTCAGACATGAGAACACATATAGTACTTATTTGGAGCATACATTTGTGCACATGCAGGTGCTTTAAACAACCCCTAACTCTTAACAGCATACAGCCGCATCTATTAATTGGAAAGCTATACGCAGCAGTTGTGGGGAAAATTTTTATGGACAATTTGGATGCTGTACAGCCCCCTTACAGCTGTGTTCATAAGCCCTTCTACAAAAAAATGAAGGTGGAATTATGTTTGATATTGTAGGAGGAGTTACCAGATGAGTCATCAGAGGAGCCTCCAAGATGCAATCCTCGGCACGCTTCCCTGCCAAGACAAAGACCTCCTCCAAGGCCACCAAGGATACAAAACCAGAGTACTAAAAGGTAAAGCTGTGTAATTTCAAAAAAAGATCTGTATGGAAAGAAGTAATGAGGCTACCATTGCTGATTTTTAAAATGCTAGCCTGCATGGCTATCCCTAGCTAAATACTTTCTGAGTCACAGACCTGAAACAGGTATGTAGCAGTAAAGTCAAAACTTACCTGCATTTATGTTCTGAATCGTTGGGGTTGATTTACTGAAGGCTAATAGGCTGTGCACTTTGCAGTTGCAATAATTTTCCCCAGAGCTTGGTGAATTTGTTGAAACTCTGCTGTTTTCTGTCATCCAATCATGTGCAAGCAGAAATGCTGTTTATTTTTTCTTTTCCTTCAACCCGATTGGATATTCTTTACAAAGTGAAGCTTCATCACATTCACTAAGCTCTGGGAAAAGTGAGTGCAACTGTACTTGAAAAGTGAACAGTCTGTTTGCCTTTAGTAAATCAACACCATTGTCTTTGAATTTATTGATGCCAGAGGATCAGCTTGTCAGAGAGACAACTAGTATTTTCAGACTTGGGAAAAAGAAATGGCAGCTTCCATACTTTCTCACTGCTGGATTAATCCAATCTAAATCAAAAGTCGATGATTTTTTTGTGTGCTAATTTTCTATGATTATTATTTTACAGGAGTTATAGTGTCAAAGGTTTGTGCAGCACCTGACAATGTAAAAGGAGACAGTACAGTTACATTACAATAAAATACAAGAGGGTTAAGAGGGCCCTGCTCATACAGTCATGGCCAAAAATAATAGCACCCATGCATTTCTGTCAGATAATGCACCACTTCGCCCAGAAAATTGTTGCAATTACAAATGTTTAGGCATTCTCATATTTACTTCTTTTATTTGTAAATTCGGTTATTCGGTATGACAAAAAAAGTGGAGAAATAAAAATCAAAATCTGTCACATTCCACACAACTCCAAAAAATGGATAGGACAAAATTATTGGCATCTTTAATTTAATATTTGGTAGCACACCCCTTGAAAAATATAACTGAAATTAATTGCTTCCTGTAACCATAAATTCTTACACCTCTCTATATGGAATTTTGGACCATTTTTCTTTCACCAGCTGCTCCAGGACTCTCAGATTGGAAGGGTTTCTTTTCCCAACTGCTGTTTTGAGATCTCTCCAAGGGTGCTCTATGGTATTGAGATCTGGACTCATTGCTGGCCAGTTCAGTACTCTCCACGCTTTGTCTGAAACCATTTCTGGGTGTTGTTGACGTGTGCTTTGGGTCATTGTCCTGCTGTTAGACTCATGACCTCTGACTGAACTTTCTGACACTGGGCCCTACATTGCAGCCCAGAATTCTCTGGTAGTCTTCAGATTTCATAAGGCCATAAACACGATGAAGACATCCAGTGCCTGAAGCAGCAGAGCAACTCCAAAACATCTGTAAACCTCAACCACGTTTGACTGTAGGGACCCTTTTCATTCAGATGGTGACGTATACTGCGAGTTGATACAGTTGTACCCTGTGCCTGAAGGTCAGCTTGAATTCATCTAGAAGTTGATCAAGGTTCTTTAGCCACCATTCGAACAATCCTTTGTGGCAATCTTTGGTCAATTTTTCTCTTTCATCCACATCCATGGAGATTAGCAACAGTGCCATGGGCTGTAAACTTCTTGACAATGTTGTGCACAGTGGACACAGGAAGATTAATCTGGAGATAGACTTATAACCTTGAGATTGTCCATGCTTTTCCACAATTTTTGTTCTCAAATCCTCAGACAATTTGCTGCTCTTTCTCTTCTCCATGCTCCATGTGGCACACAGAGACACACAACATAAAAGTTGAGTCAATTTTTCACCATTTTAACTGGTTGTCGGTGTCAATTTTTAGTAATGTTAGCATCTGTTAATTGACACAGGTGAATTTAATTAAAAAATACAGGTGCATCACAAACTTGGAATGCAATTATTTCTTACAATTTTGTTCGGTCCATTTTTGGGGTTTTGTGTGGAATGTGTCAGATCTGGCTATTTTTTTTCTCCACTTTTTTGTGTCATACCAATACAAAGAAAATAAATAAACATGAGAATGACTAAACTTTTTTAATTGCAACAATTTTCTGGGCGAAGTGGTGCATTATCTGACAGAAATGCAGGGGTGCCAAAATTTTTGGCCATGACTGTTTAAGTGCTTACAATCGATTAAAAAATTAGAAACCAACAAATTCCTATCATTGAAAGGAACTTTAAAAGCACCATAGAAGAATAGGCAGCAAAGACACAATTAAGAAAATTAAAATACACACAATTTGATAATCACAATGCATTATGGAAACCATACAAAATCACATATCATATTCTCCCTTTAGTAAGTATTTTGCAATAATTAATTCAGCACTTTGAAACTCAAAAAAATCCATAAACAGTCCATATTGTATACTGGCGCTTGGTGTCCTTATACTGTTGCATTATTTGGAAATGCTGGATACTGGTATGCTGGACTGTAAAACAGTTTGACTGCCTGGGGGTGTTGTGCTATTTGCTGCTTCAGTCTCCTCCCTGTGTGGTTTAGTGTTTTGACGCCATTCCCTACCTTTGGTTGGGAAGGAGTTGGAATTGTCTTTGCCTCTGGTGCCCCAGTGGTGGGTTGGAGCACTGAACATGCTTGATGTCTCCTCATGTGTTTTTACTATTGTGATACTCTCGTGTTCTTCCCTTGAAGAAGCAGCAGTCTTCGGCCCTGGATCCCAAATAAGGCAACAGTATAAGGACACCAAGCACCAGTTTACAATATGGACTGCATATGGACTTTTTTGAGTGTCAAAGTGCTGCATTAATTATTGCAAAATACTTATGGGAGGGAGAATATGATACATGATTTTGTATGGTTTTTGACAATGAATTGTGACTAATAGATTTTCTGTATTTTTGATTTTCTTAATTGTGTCTTTACTGCAAATTCTTGTACGGTGCCTTTAAAGTCCCTTTTATTTAACGGAATCTGTTGGTTCTGAATTTTTGAACATATGTATATAGGATATGGCACCGTATGTTCACGCCCAAAATATGGTCGCTTGTGCTGTATTTGCTTGGAGCTTACAATCTAATAGGATGGTGCAAATGGTACAAAAGGTTATAACTTTGGGGAATGAGCTGATGGAAGAGTTAAAAGTTCAGTTGTTAGTTGGAGGCATGAAAAGATGGGTTTTCAGTAAGAGATAGCTGGACAGATTGAGGTAGAGCGTTCCAGAGGATGGGAGAGGATCAGGGGAAGTTCTGGAGACAAACATGAGAGGATGAGACAAGGGAGCTTTAGAGCAGGAAGCTCTTGGGAGGAGTGGAGAGAATGGTTTGGGTCATATTTGGAGACAAGATTGGTGATGTGGCTCGAGGCAGAGTTGTGGATGGCTTTGTATGTTGTTATAAATATATTGCATTCAATTCACTAAGCAATCGAAAGCCAGTGGAGGGATTGGAAGTCTGGGGTGGCAGACACTGATGACAAGGTAGATGAGTCTGGCAGAAGCATTCACAGGCGTAGTCAGGGCTGGAGAGGTGGAATGGTCAGGCCGGCCGTAGGGTTCTGTAATGACCGTTCGGTGGTACCTCTAGCGGTTCCCAGGACAGGATTCCTCAGGGCGCGGAGTCTAAGTCCCAGCCTGCTTATTCACCAGGGCCCCTGATGGTGGGGATGGACTCGGAGCAGACAGGAACCAGGTTGCGGCCCCTGAGTACCCCTGCTCGTGGTAGAGGGATCCGCCAGAGGTATGTGCAGGTAGAAAGCCTGATGTGAAGAGGCAGAAGGTGTGAGCAGGGATGGCTGGATCCGTGCAGGATGGATGGATGGCAGAGTAGCTAGCGTGGTCAGACGGGTCAGGTCAGCAACGTGCGGGCAGCGAGGTACCGAAGGAGCAGGCAGAGAATGGTCAGGGTCACAAGCCGGGTTCAGTAACTCACGGGCAGCGCGGTACAAAGGATCAGGCAGAAGGATGGTCAGGCAAGCCAGGGGTTCAACAGGAGACGGTCAGCAGAGGTCAGGATCAAGCAGGGTCAGCAACGAAGCAGGAACACAGGATACCAGGTACAGAGGCTCATGGGAAAACATACACCAAGGCCCAGATCACAGGCCTGGTCATGCCTTAAATACACCTTCTGCAATCAGCCCCAGGTTTGGCTGATTGCAGGTGTGAGCTTCTGGCTGCTGAGAGCACCCGCTGGTCAGCTCTGGTACTGCAGCCCACACGGCAGGTGAGTCCCACCACCAGTGCTGAGTCCATTCCTGACATGAAGTCTACAAGCTCGTCACAGAGGTGAAGTCTACAAGCTCTTGGAAGTGACTGGATTTGAGGCTGAAAGGATAGGCCAGAGTTTAGGATTACACCTAGCACCCTGTCATGAGGGGAGGGACTGATAGTTGTGTTATTGATCTTGATAGAAAAGTCAGAGGGCACAAGTGAGTGGAGGGCACAAGTGAGTGGAGTGGGGGGGGGGGGCAATATTACCAGCTCAGTTTTAGAGAGACTTAGTTAGCAAAAGGTGGTTCAACAAAATACTGACACAGGGGGGTGATCCTTTTTCCAACTCAGTGATTCTGCACTACCAGGGACTAAAATGCTCTAGGAAAGCTCTTTTCATGCTGAGCTATTTTTTTGCTTGATGTCTAGTTAAGATTACTTTGCTGTATAAGTCAAGGAAACTTTGACCTCTTTAGTGTGTTAATGTGTTTTACTGAATGAAAATGCTGTACATAGAATCTATTACAATTATAGGAAAAAAAGTACAAGACTGGCAGATATACATACAACACACAAAAATGCTACCTACATCCTAGCAAATAAGCAAGTCTGTATACAATGGAAATATGCTGAAAGGTTACTTAACTCAAGTTAGAGTGGGTTCACGATCTCCTTAGGCAACGAGGACCCAGGCTCACTCTACAGCAGTTGCAGAAGATTGGGCAAAGATGTCTTCTTCTTCTGTCAGAGATCTTCCTTGTTGTTAAGTCATTCTAAAGTCATCCTTTTCAGTTTCTGTTGTTGGCCTTTA